TTCAAAACTCAATTCAACATTCTCTTCAAAAATCATAACCAAACAAATTTTTTACACTCAAATTATAATTTTAAAACACACAAACTCAAAATACAACTCATATTTTCAAATCATAATTAAAAATTCTTACCAAACGGAGCCCTAGTTTTCTCCATGATTCTTTGTATACTATAAACAAATTCATCCCACTAATTTGGGAGCACTAATGGACCACTAATGAGGTGAAAATTCAAAAAAAAAAAAAAAACAAAAGAGCAAAACATCCCATCATGTGGGACCCACACCATTTTAGAGCTATTAGTACTCCTCTTTTTAGTGGTCTCACTCATTTTTGATACTATAAAATAGACTCTGTATATATATACTAGTTGTCCATGTGTATGGAAATTGAAAAGAGTTAAACTATAATTTTTTTTAAAAAAATATGTGAAAATTATATGGTTGTTTGAACCTAATTTGAGAATAAAAATGACATAAAATGTCAATACCATACCAAATCACGGCTTTACAATATACATTTTTGTGTGTGAAAAATAAAGTAATAATGTATAAATAAAATATATGTTGAGCTAATTGTGATTTTACCGTTTCAAAACAAAAATCTTATGACGTGAATTTATAAAAGCGCTATTCATATTGTAAGAATTTTATATGATTTTGTTTGCATACTATTTTTTCATCGGATATGGACTGACAATGTATTTAAAAAAAAAAAAAAATTGTAAAGTAGTTCACAACCAAAATAAATTTAATTGATATATTTCAAATCGTACACTCTTTTCTGCAGATAATACCATACAATCATAATTTTTATGTATAATTTTTACACAAAATGATATGGGGTGTTCAAAGTAATTTTTGGGTTCATTTAGAACTACCCGTGTTTTGTGGTCTTGACATTTCGAAATAAAATTCCACCATTATGACACATAATTTTATAAATGTCACTGTTATATTATTGTGGGCGGTAACAGTTTGACATTAGGAAATATTTGATTTTTTAAAAAAAAAATATTTTAAAATGATAAATTTACAATTTTATCATATTATTAGAATACTTTTTTAAAAAAATTACTCATAAATCTCATATTGAGAAATGTTGGTCTATCTAATCCTGAGTGTTTTTTCTTAAACCATTTAGTCCTTTGTATTTTTAATATGATATATGTTTTTGATTTATTGTATATGTAATTTACATTTTTATCTATATGATTTCATTTTGGTGATGTTGCTAATGTTGTTGATGTTTGCTGATGTTTTGATGATGTGTGCTAATGGAGTTGATGTTGATGAAGCCGTGACCCGTCATCTCTGTTGGAAAACTGTTCACAGCATATATAAATATATATATATATATAAAGAGAGAGATTCAAAGAGAGACCCTAAACTAGGGTTTCTGTTCCTTCCTATACACCACGTCGTATATATATATTCACAATTCATTTGCACAGAGAGAGAGAGAGAGAATTCAAGAGTATTTATCAATGGCGCCGAAGAAGCAGAGAACGGTGAGTCGAAACCCAGATCTGATTCGCGGAGTAGGGAAGTACTTGCGATCTCAGATGTACCACAAGAGAGGTCTGTGGGCAATCAAGGCCAAGAACGACAGCGTATTCCCTCGCCACGACAAGAAACCCGCCGCTGCCAATGTAGTTGATGATGTTGAAGATGTTTGCTGATGTTTGATGATGTTGACGATGTTGCTGATGTTTTGTTGATGTTTGATGATTTTTTGTTGAAGAACAAATCTAATTTGATGATGTTTTGTTGGATCTTATTCGATCTGATTTGGGGGAAGTACAGATCTGATTTGAATTTCCTCCAACGCCGCTAAAGAACATCACTGTGTCGATGATGTTTTGTTGATGTTTGATGTTGTTGATGTTTGAACATGGTCGATGTTCGATGATGTTTGAACATGGTCGAGGTTGATGATGTTTGATGTTTGATAATGTTTTGTTGATATTTGTTCTGAATGTTCTTGATGTTCTTGTTGTTGTTGATGTTCTTGAATGTTCTGAATGTTTGAACATGGTCTTCGTGTTTCTGAATGTTCGATGTTGACGATGTGCTTGAATGTTCACAATGTTTGATGATGTTGAAGATGCTGCTAATGTTTGGAGAATGAGGGAAATCTAAAAAAAGTCTATAGTAAACTTTTTGGGCAATTCGGTAAATTACACATAAACACTAACTCAAAATTACCTCCTCAATTACTGACCCAGACGTATAAAAAAATGGGTACTAATGTCTTTACATATAAAATAGGACCTATTAGTCCAACAAAAAAACATCGGGACTAAATAGGTTAACATTTCCAAATTAGGGATTTAATGGTGCTTTCCCCTACTTTTTATTTGTACATCATTACACTATTCTATTATTATTATTATTATTATTATTATTTTAAAGAAGTAAACAAATATTCGGAAACGGGGACTATTGTGCCTGGCATAGTAGTCATTGTTATGCGTTTATATGGGCTCATTTCGAGACTTGTTTTGATAATCAAAATTGTTTTTAGAATACATCGAGTCAAATATATCTACTAAAAATCAAATTAATCGGACATTGTTAACATTTTCATAGACTCATATTTGTATTTATAAAAATAAATGACAAATGTGATTTGAAATATGAAACTGAATATAAATGTAAATTAACGAAAAAGTTGACGATATCCGATCAATTTGATCTTTTGCACGTATATTCTACTCAATATATTCTTAAAAATAAACGATTTAAATTATCAAGATAGATCTTAAAATACTCATATGGATACGCAACATGGACTGTTGTGAAGGAGGCACAGTTAACGTAAAAAATTCAATAAATATCCAATTAAATTATGCACCCTCTCTATCATATATAGGTGCAGCCACTCTTTATTGTTATTTATTTTGGCATATGGTTAAGGAGGTCACATTTATTTTTTATTTTTTAATTTTTTTTTAATTTTTTAGATTATGTCAATTTTTTTTTTAATTTAAAAACTAAAAAATTAAGAAAAGTATTCAAAAGAAGTTCATTAAAGACAAAAAAAAAAAAAAAACTGTTTTTTACTTTTTTGGACTTTTTTTTAAGTTTTTATATTTTTTAAAAAACTTTTTTCGATTCGTCTAATTGATTAGAACGCAAAAGTGTGAAATTTCATTTTAAAAAAATTTTAAAAAACAAAGAAATCAATAAAAAAAAAATCACTAAAAAGGCCAATCCAAACATAATGTTCTCCCGCCTTGTGCAACTATAAAATTATCAAACGAAAATTTAGATATATAAAAAAGATTCATTTTAAATTTACATTTACATGTTATTTTCCAACTAACATTCTAATTAAAATTTCATGATAAGTAAAATTATTGAAAAACCTTAAGAAGAAACAAAACATACACTTCATGGACACAGAAATCGACTCTTATATTAGGGATTAAGAAATTAAACACATAAAAATATTTTATAGAAGTGTGTGGTTTAAATTTAACTTTAATGTGATAAAACTCACGTTTAAAATGAATCTATATCATATATTACTTTCTAAAATATTTTTTTTTGACATATGAGTTCTTATCGTTAGTATTATCGTATCAACATATGTTGATTTCCATTTCAAAATAGTACCAAATTGTTCAAAAATAATGATCTCTTGTTTTTTCCCCTTGTCTTGTCTAGTTGGAGTGTTAAGAATTTTCTCAACCCCTCTGCCAAGAAAGAAAAGTTTATTACCAAGAGAAGACTAAAACCATGACGATTACACATATATTATATTCAAGAGAAAAGTTAGGGATCATGAAAGATTTATGATCTTTTAATTACCTTGATTAGTGTGTGGGGCTTTATTAGTTTAATCCAAAAGTCACAAAGTTTTCATGATTATTTTCATGAAATATTTTTTATGATATCTAGCATTGTTGCATATTCAAATTTACACTTAAAAGAACAAAAAAATCAACTTTTATATTATCACCTTTTGAAGTAATTAAAACGAGTGTTACCTTTTCATTTGAAGGAACGCATCATAAGAAAAAGGATCTAGTTTCGTGAAAGAAATTAAAAATAAATAAATAAATAAAAACACTTATTATTTTTATATAATTTTATCTTTTTTGAAGGACAGAAATAATTTTTAAAATTTTAAAAAATATGTTTTTAATGTTTATTTTTGTTGAACTATAGTATCTATTTTTTCAAAAAAAATTTAAAAATCAAACTAAACATGTCATATGACTATTAAGAATATGAACTCACTATAGCCATAAAAGTTATTGGTTAGAAAGGAAGAGTTTCTTAGCAAGAAAAGACTAAAAGCATGATTAAAACATATATTTTATATTCAAATCTTTTTCTTCTAAACTAAATTTCACATACGATGAGATCGTAAAATAGCACAGTATTAAAAAATATGGTATTACCAGTACATGAGTAAAGAATGAATATGATTAACAGAGTTGAGCATGAACAGAGTGGCCAAATTGATCAGAGCAACCAGAATAAAATGACCGAGCTAACTAGAATAGAATGGCCAAACTGACCTAAAAATTGGACTATAACAACTCTTAAAACCACACCATTAATTATGGCATCAACCATGCCATACAACCAACTGATATAATTTCCATCTCATAAGATCCAAAAATTTTGACCCCTATTCATGCCAACATTCATTTACACAATTTTGTGATTTCATCCAACTCTCCAAAGATTTTAACTGTCTGTCTCCGTTAAATTTCATAGCAGCAGATGCTAAGTCTATACCTGTCAATTCAACTAAACAAAGCAAAACACAGTCCAATCGTGCACCATGAGCTAAAACAAGTTGTGAGGTTTAATCTTCCCTCCATGGAGCTGTGGTAGTACATATTGTTGCAGCTAAACAATACAAGCTCATGAATTAGCTAGAAAACAATAAAAACAGAGAATTTTGGGATATTTTCAAAGCAGTGTCCAAATATATGAAATTAAAAGAACAGCAGTAGTAGCAGCAGTAGTAGCAGCAGTATTACAATATACAACAATTAAACATATGGCCATATCAAAGCATAAATAATATCAGAGTTCAGTTTTAGTAGAGCAGATAAGGGTTTAATTACTTCCCAAAAATCCAAGACATTTAGACAAACATCGCATAAGAATTTCTTTTGTTTTTGTTTTCTGTTTTTTTGTTTGTTTGTTTGTTTGTTTTTTTTTCCCGTTTTTTGTTTTTTGTTTTTTTGTGGTAACGGAAAACAAGAAAGCTGAAGGTATTCAAGAACATTCAGACAAGCAGTAAGTGCTTCGTAGAAATTAGCCGGGAAGTGACTAAAGCTTAATCTTGGCATCTCTGTGTGAAGATTTTTCTGTAATTTATTGCCAACTGTAGCTCACTCTTGGTGCTTGGCTTCATAAGACCGTTTTGATCTTCTTCCATGAGTGTCTTTCAACTATTGGAAACCGAAAAAATACATAAAATCAAAAGTTATTTCATATATATATAAATTCAAGCAGAATGAGTGTAATAGCATAGGCTAGTTTTGATATGAAGCAAATGAAAGGCTTTCACAAAAATTCTCGTAGAATTGAGAGCAGTCAGTCTTTTTGCTAGGTCAGTGTGGCAAGTCTTATGGTCTGAATAGAGTAAAATGAAGGTAGCCTGAAATTTAGATAAACCATTTGTCATTATAAGCCTTGTGCAAAAAAATTGTTAAGGAACTAGGATGCATCTGTCATCTTTTTCCTGAAAATTCATATTTTCGGTTGAATTTTCAAAAGTTGTTTTTGAAAAATTTTCAAAAATTAGTTTGATGAAAAAAATATAAAAAAATTTAAAACAGTCAATAATTTCATATGATTTTCTACTTTTTAGTGTGGAAATAAATTTCAAAAATTAAAAATACCTTTTTTTGGTTTTTATTTTGTTAAACTAGTTTTTTTAAAAAATCTGAAAGCTCAATCAAATTTCTTCCTATGTACACACATACACGAACGCGGTTTTTGGACCCAACAGGCAGTGAAAGTGTGGATGTTCATTTTGACATATAAACTATAGTTACAGCACACTACACCCTTAAAGAGCAGTAAAGTAAAAATTTGGTCAAGTGCACATTAAAGTTTTCAAAACCTTAAAAAGGATATTGAATTGTTATTATGTGGGATTATCAAGTGTTAATAATGCAGGCTTTAAGAGAGCATGGTAAAACAAAACTTTCAGAGAAGTAAATACTACTTTCTGCAAGGCGAAAAAGAGAGAGATTACCTGGCCATTATGACAGCTTCAAATCTTTCCTTACATTGAATTTCCTCTTTCTGCTAATTGATCTATCAAACTTGCATCCCTTCGTAGTTCAACAAAGACATTAGCCATATAATCTTTCTGTCCGCTGCTCCAATCAGATTCAAGCCACTTTAATGAATTCCACCATTCAATCTCCCCTTTGATCACTTTTAGATCATTACTGGACAATTCCATTGGAGAAAGACTTTCAAGCATTGGGCAAGCATAGATGATAATCCTTTCTAATTTCGGTGCAAACAGAAGGCCACTGGAAATGCTTGCTAATTCAGGTAGGTCAAGAAGTGATATCTTCTTCAAGTTTGGGAGAAATGGATTTGGTTCAGAGCACGAAGATTCTTGACTTACTAGACTGTTGATTTGGGGGCAATCTTCAATTATAAGCTCGTCCAAGTTATTGAGATTACCAAGCAAGCTTCTTGTAAAAATGCTAGTCAAATTGGGGCAACTATGCAAGGCCATGTACTTTAGTTTGGATAGACAACCCTTACCAATTGGACCTTCCCAGATGCTTCTCAAATTCATCATGCAATGAATACCCAAGTATTCTAGTGAGTTGAATACCAGTTTTTTATCAACGCCTGATTCATACGTCTGATCTCCGTCTGTACAGAATTCTCTGCCATCTATAATTGTTTGAAGCTCATTGCATTCAACCAACAAGCAAAATTTCAGCTCAACCATATTTTCATTTCCAAATTCAGATAGCTTCTTGACAGTCCAATGTCGTTCTAAGAAAAAAGCACAAGTATATTTGAGTGCGTTCTGGATTTCAATCGGTATGTACTTGCCATTTATATATTTTAGGTAATTTTCCTGTTTCTCGAACTCTTCCTCAACTCCATATGGTAGGCGAGATATGATGCACTGCTTATGATGACCAACAATAAATTTGAAATTTCGCACAGATGTAATTCCTTTTAGTTGTCCAACTTCTGGCAAATACAATTTTAGAGTCATCAACTCTTTTACTTTAAGCAGCTCATATGTGACATCTTTTACATCAGCTACCCACTCATCATCATCTGGATTTACATCAATGCTCAGTGCTTTCAACATACAGAGGCTTGCTAATAACCCTGCTGGAAACCTTTTGCATATCTGCTTAACTTCTCTGTAGCTTTTTCCATATCCATAAAGGGATACTTTCAAGCATTCCAACTTTGATAGTCTTGAAATTTCCTTGGGCAGATACATAAGCTCAGTTCCTTCAAGATCAAGCACCTGGAGTTTCGAAAGTGCTCCAATTTCAGGTGGCAGTTCGGTTAAAAGTTCACAACCTCTTAAAAATAATTCTTGGAGGGAAACTAATCTGGAAATAGATGCTGGCAAAGAATTTATGCTCGTGTGGGACAAATCTAGAACTTGAAGCATGGGCATACACTCAAAGAATGAGGAAGGAATTTCCATAAGGTCATAGTTTTCTTGTAAAAACAGTGTTACTACAGAACCAAAACTTCCTGTACCGAGTATGTTGCTTTCACTAAACAGGTTTGTTGCTTGTACGAGTTCTTGATATGAAAACCCTCTCCACGAATGAGTCATTGAATCTACTCGAATTGGTAGCACCATATTGACTTTTCGATATCTCATCCACACAAAGGCCGCCACACTTATTGCAAATGCAATTGATGGTAAGATATATGTCAGTAAATCCAAACTTTTTCTTGATTTTTAGTTTTGCATGGTGGGAGTTGCAATCGAGGCGCACCACACAACCCGGAGTTTTGCATAAATGATACAGCAGTGAAGTTTGCGAAATGCCCTCCCGCAGGAATTTCACCTTGCAAGTTATTGAAAGAGAGATTCAAATGTTGAAGATTCCTGAGTGCCTCTAGTGATTGAGGAATGCCTCTGGACAAATTGTTATTGGATAGATCCAAGAATTCCAAGTTTATCAAGTTGCCCAATGATTGAGGAATAGGTCCTTGTAGTTTGTTATATGCCAAGGAGAGAGTAACTAATGTTTGGGCTCCTCCAATGGTGCTAGGGATTTCGCCTGATAACTGATTCCACGATAAGTCTATTTTCAGATTGGGAAGCCAGAGGCCAAAGCTTGATGGAAGATGGCCAGAGAGTTGATTTGGACTCAGGCTAATGAATCTTCTTGTTGATTTGTTAAATATTTGGGAGGGAATTAAGCCTGTTAACCCTGCCGAAGGGATACTCAATATCTCAAGATTAAGGTTTCCAATTTCTTCTGGCAATGCACCTGCACACAATGTAAAATTTGGCAGTTATGTAAATGACCCAAAATTTGCTCAATTTTAAGGCATGTATGTGCTCATTATATCAGGGCCTTTGTTAATACCATAAATTTGACTACCACAAAACCACAACAAATATACTTAGGGTAAATTACACTGACCTCTTCTAAGGTTTGGTAAAATGGAAGAAATCTCCCAAAGGTTTCTAAAATAACTTAAAACCTCCTTTAGGCCTTGTTCGAGAACAAGCTTTTTTAATAACTTTTTGACTTTCTATCTAAAATATGATGTAAAAAAAAATTAATATGTTTGGGATGACATTTTAGTTTTTTACGAAAAGATGTACAAAAAGTAGAGAGAAAAGAGAATCTTTGACTTTTTAGTATAAGTTGTTGGCTTTTTGGTTTTTTTTAGTGATTTTTTGACTTTTAATCTAAAAAGTGATGTTGCCAAACGAGACCTTAAAGTTTAATTTTCAATTACACTGGCCTCCCATGAGATTTAATAAAATTGCTAAAATGATAGAAATTGCTTGAGGTTTAGTTTTCAATTACACTAACCTCCCTTGAGCTTTAATGAAATGGTAAAAACCTCCATTGAGATTTTTGAAATGGCATAAACCTCTCCTATGGTTTAATTTTTTATTACAGATTGTCTTCTTGTTACTTTATGCTAAAACGAATAACATAAAATGTTGACATCATCAAATAATTTAATCTAATTTTTAATTTTATCATTTAAAATTGTGTCCAGTTACAAAGAAATAAAAACATATATATAATTCCAATTGGGGTTTTGGAAAAACGAGGCATACATAATCAACAGTAGCTGCAATAAAACAAAGAAAAAAAAATAAAATAAAACAATTGTAATTTTTTCTTTTTTTGTAATTAGACACAATTAAAGGGTAAAATTAGAAATATAATTAAATTATTTAATGATGTCAACATTTTCTGATTTTTTTTTTTTTTTTTTTTGTATGTAACGATGCTATGGAATTTTTTTAATAAAAGAGGCGCACAGAATCACCGTAATTGCAAGCATAATAAAGAGAGAAAACAAAATTTGCATATTTCCATTTATTTGTAATTGGACATAGTTTTAAACGGTAAATTAAAAATATAATTAAATTATTTAATGATGACCACATTTTTATTATTATTTTTTGATGATAAAGTAACAGAAGAGAGAATCTATAATAAAAAAGGAAAATTTGGTCAAAATCCCCACTGTGGGGAAGTGGTTTGAAAATACCCTTCGGATCCTGGGAGACGCTAGGAGTCCTCAGATAGTCACCTAAAAGGAAATAAACACTCCGACGTGGGTGCCAGAATCAGCACTCCGACGGACAAGTCAATCTCAAGCTCTAGGTTACTTGTATTCTAAGTTAAACAAGGAGATTCTTAGCCTTCTTCTTTTCACTCTCTTTTTATCTGTAGTTCCTGTATTTATACTCGTTTACTGGGCCTCGGGGCCAGGGCCTACTCATTATTCATTGTCCTCTCTCATATTCGGCTCCATGGATTTACGCTTATCCGGCCTATCTATTGTATTCGGCCTCCTGAGCGCGCCGAATAACGCCGAATAGTGTCTGTTTTGCAGAGTACGCTCTTCCCGACATTGCCAATTATTCGGCTCCCACAATTGCCCCCCAAACTCGCCATTGGCAGTAGTTAACTGGCGTGTTTGGTTTTGATTCTGAAAAGCCAAGACATAAGTTAGGCGGCTCTACCTATCCCAATGTGTCAGAGCGCGCACGTCTTTTTGGTCATCATTATGCTTTCCCGCCTCATTCGTGCACCTTTTGCATTTAATACAATTTGAAACTTCAGCCCTTTCGAATGCATGCTTTTCCTGAATACTTGGGCCTCTTGGATTCCCAGACGGTATCGCTCTTCTGACACTTTTCTCTACAACTTTCGTCCGTCTATCCTCGTCTTCTTCACCTCTCGTAAGTTTTCTTTCTTTCTTTGCGATCCTATTTTCCGTGCTTATTTTAGCTTTGGTGTACCCTCGGATCTTTGCTAAAATGGCTAAGCACCTGAAAGACCTCATTTCCGAAGGTCGTATCTCGGGATTCCGACGACATTTTTCTATTCCTGATGATGTTCATCTATCTCTAGTGATGGACAATACTCTGGATATGGAGAGAGAGGATCGCAACACAATCGTCTTGCCTCTCCTATCCATTGTGGAGGGTGGAGTCCGTTTTCCCCTATATCCATTCCTTAGGGCCGTCCTCTGCCATTGGGGTTTGATTCCTTCTCAGCCTAATGTGAATTTGTTTTGAATCGTAATGGGGATCGTAGAGTTGAACCAGCGCCTCAGGATCAATCTTGGCATTCCGGCTATTCGGCACTGCTATGCTTTAGCCAAATCTTTCGGTCGGCTCGGGCGGTACTTTCTTAGGGCCAAGGATACTGACCATCATTTGGTGTCCATGCTTGCCAGTTCTGGCAAGCGAGTGGATGACATAATGGTCAATGTCCGAGGGAACTGGGAATTTGGCGAAGGTGAGGATCGCCTAGACCCTATTCCCAGACGGAAGGGTGAACCAGGTGGCCGTGTGTCTCCTTGCGTTTATTGAACTTTTCTTTTACTCGGCCTTCTCTCCAAGTCTAACGCTTTGTCTTTGCAGGCAGTAAATTGAAGAAGATTCTGACTTCTACTGACGACGCAGTCCTTGCGCAGATTGCGGCTGCACTCGGGTACTTCGGCCGTCCAAACGTACAGAAGCAAGAGAGAGCGGCCCACATACTTCTTCGATACGAGCCTAATTATACTACTTTTTCGGCCGCAGACAACATTCCAATTCCAACCGGCGATCAACACCTTGCGACTCTTATCTTCCCTAACTTCAAGAGCCTTAGGCAAGTTGGCCTCGAAGCTTCTGATTTGGGGCAAGACATGGAGCCGGTGGTAGAGGTAGTCGCCGCACCAACCAGAGAGTTCGCTGAGGAGGCCGAAGAGGTCAACGAGGACCTAAACTCGGCGTTTGAGGTAGCCAGACTTAATCAGCCTGCCTCACTTTCCACTTTGGGTCGGGCGGAATTTTCTTCTGGAGATATTTTTGCAAGTTTAGGAGACCTACCCGGCGATTTTTTTGAAAGTATGGCTGGGGAAAACCTCACACAGATGGCTCGAAAGAAAAATGCCGAGCGAATGGCCGCCCGGAAAAAGGCCGAGGCCGCCTGTTCTGAACCCGTCTTGATTGAGTCTTTCAAGCCCGTTATTGAAGAGCCGGTTCAGATTGTTACGGCCGAAACGGCGAAAGAGGTTGAACAACCGGTCATTGAAGAACGGTTGATTCCAGAAGAGCGGGGCAAAAAGCGTAGTGCCGAGGGAGAGGTCGGTTCAGAAGATAGTCCTATTGACAAAAGGCCTCGCTTAGAAAATTTGGACGTGGTTGTTCCTTTCATTGTTCAGCCAAAGATCAGAGACACGCCGATTTCCTCTGACACATCCATCATTACCGACCCAGCGGTAGCGTTGAGCTTGGCGGCTTCAGTCTCCCTACCGAATGATAAGGCATCCTTTCATGTCGCGCCGGATTTGGTCGTCGTAGCCCTATCTGCGCAGTCGGCCCTTTTGGTAGGTGACCTTAACTTGTTTTGATTTTGCTTGCCTATGGTATCTGACGATCCCAACTCATTTTGCAGACGGTCGGCAAGATCACCGACTTGGGCCACCGCCTACATGATGCCCTTGAGAGGATTGACCGTTTGCAGTCAGAAGTGGACGGTCAAAATAGCAGGGCCGAGTTTGAGGTTATGAGAGCCGCAATGGAGACTGCGCGAGCCAAAACCGAATTAGAAAGGGCTCGGTCTGCCGATCGGCTCCATTCTGATGCCGAAGATAGGGCGAACATGAGCGAAGAATCGCTTAGGCTAGCCAAGGTGGCACTTAACAAGGTGGAGACTGAGTTAGTAGAGTTGAAGGTGGCCAAGGAAAAAGCCGAATCTGAGGCTCCTATCGCATTTGAAGCAGAAAAAGGCACCGCCTTCGAGGAATACGTAGATGAAGTCCCCAAGTTTGAGAATCAGGGATTGAAACATGGGTGGCTCAAGGCCCTTGATGCCGCAGGGGTTACATTGAACTTGCCAATTCCATATGAGCAGGTGGACGTTGAGCCACTTGAGTCTGACCCCGAGGATTGATCTGAGAGGCATTCGAATTTTATGAAATGCTTTCACTTTTGATGTATGTTTTTGTTTTAAGGACTTTTGTTGGTTCTGAGTAGTTTTCATGTATAAATTGGTCACTATCTGCGCTCAATTTATTAATGAAAATTACCTTGTCGTTTCACTACTACTTATGCGTAGTTTGTGATGTTATGTTGGTGAAGAATTTTTGCCTTTCACTACTTTAGATAAAATGATTACACTGTTGAGCTTTCTACGATTGAATATCTTGGCAATATTGACTTAACATTCGTATGCCGAATAGTTCGTGGGTATTACGCTGGTGATGTGATTCATGGGTCGGCTGGGGCACTTAATCGGAATAGATTGATTAATCTGCCCTTGCCCCAGGCGGTGCATGATCATTTGGGCGCCGGATGAGACGAACTCAGGAGTTTTGAAGTCGATTCATGGGCCGACTGGATCACTTAAGCCGAATATATTCGATCACTTAAGCCGAATATATTCGATCACTTAAGCCGAATATATTCGATCACTTAAGCCGAATATATTCGATCACTTAAGCCGAATATATTCGATCACTTAAGCCGAATATATTCGATCACTTAAGCCGAATATATTCGATCACTTAAGCCGAATATATTCGATCACTTAAGCCGAATATATTCGATCACTTAAGCCGAATATATTCGATCACTTAAGCCGAATATATTCGATCACTTAAGCCGAATATATTCGATCACTTAAGCCGAATATATTCGATCACTTAAGCCGAATATATTCGATCACTTAAGCCGAATATATTCGATCACTTAAGCCGAATATATTCGATCACTTAAGCCGAATATATTCGATCACTT